GTCACATGTAAGGTCTGTTGTTGGCACTCCTAACTAATCAATCACTGAGGGACTTCAGTCATTCTATAAAATGCTAAAGCCATACTCAGTTTCTGACTGACCATCTTTCTTTCAAAACCCAAAAATCCAAACAGATCTTTCAGTCATCCACACTTTGTGAGGGTCACCATGCCACCACAAAAGGAAAATTCTACATCTGACCTCCAAATCTATGTTGCAATTGAAGCAGACACACACCTTAAACAAACAAACAAATGAATAAATAGGTAGATTTGGTGTGTGTATGTTTTGTAAGGATATGTGAGCGGGCTATGTGTAGTGTAGCGTGAAGGGAAGGACTTTGTGCCAGTGAGGCTCTTCTTTCTACAGCCGCAGCATCAAGATAATCGGTGTCCAGAGCAATGCCTGCCTTTTCATGTGTGTGTAGCTGCCAGGGATTCAAACTTGGGTCCTTGTACTTACAGGACAAGTACTGTTACCCACTGAGTCACCTCCCCAGTTCCCTAAAATTCCAAAGAAAATTACCTTCAGACTATATTATGAAATACATCTGAAACATGATTTTCACTCCTTGACTACTCTTGCCATGCCGACTACTGGCTTTTAAGTGTTGCACTTCTACTCTCTATAAGGTAAAAATGTTTTTTTCCAATTCATTTGAAGCTCTTATTTTGAAATCAACAATTATAAACTTAATTATAAACTATCACTTGTGAACTTCCTCAAACATCATTGACCGTACATCATTTCTAGCCATAGCTTTGGAAGGAAACAAGCAGGGGGTAGGGGAACCTTCCTGCTAGCATTTCCTACATGTAAATAGTAAAACAGGCTCATGCTCCTAAGGGCTACAGAACATGCTTTAAAAAAAATGAGGCCTGCACATGTCATAATTGTCAAACTGCCTGGCTGACTTTTGACCTAATTTAGCATTATTTGAAGCAGCTTACTGACACTGCCAATAATATCTCACATAATAGAACACACATCTTATAACTGAACCACAGACAGTGCTGAACAACCTAAAGAACCCAGGAAATACATGTTTCAATTGTAAACTGCTCAAAGAGAAAAGCTACTGAAGAGTCTGGGGGGAAGCCCTCGTGATGCCTCCTTTACACGGTCGTAATACATTTTTGTAGTCTTTTTTTGTGATCTTGCTTTTTAAAAGTCTATGATTTTTCGAATCATCATATTTAACAAACGCCTCCCTTTCTTTCGATAAACATTTAGTCTAATAGCACTGGATATGCTTAGGCCCTAGAAACAGAGCATACCTTCCAAAGACTGGATGAAAGAGACAGACAGTCTTTTAGAATAGCAGGTACCACTCTAATCTGAAGCTTGTACTGTCCTTTCAATCTGAGCAGAGAAACAATTAATAAAGGAACCCATTAAGACCTGATTATTGCAGCTAAGAAAGGAAGGTAGAATTTCAGTCCTTTGAAGTAACTGAGAATGATTCAGGCCTCATTACAGAGATATAATCTACATTCATACATTTATGTTAGTGATTCAAATCTATTGGGAGAGATTGGATTCCGTTAAATAGTGCATCTCTCCTGTGGAACTTTTCTCAGGCTTTCTGGGGCTAAGCTGAGGGGTGACTTACAATACAAAGCGGTGGGGGATTTGGGGACTCTACTGTGCTGTAAAAGAAAGGCAGTGCAGAAAAGAAAAAGACTGAGATATAATCTAAAAAGCCATGTCAGTCTCTCCTTTGGGCAGTTTAATAAATGCCCTCCCTGTCATCAACGCTGGACAGAGGAGAGGCGAAAGGACTCCAGAAGTCTCAGACATTGCACCTGCTGCAGGCGAGTTTTCATATGAACATTTTGGGGATAGCTTTTCCCTCATTTCAGATAAAACTAAGGTCAAACTTTTAGTTAGAAGATCTGAATAGCTCCTACTAGAATAGAAAACCGATTGTGTGTGTGTGTGTGTGTGTGTGAGAGAGAGAGAGAGAGAGAGAGAGAGAGAGAGAGAGAGAGAGAGAGAGAGAGAGAGAGGGAGGGAGAGAGAGAGGTGTTGAGCTGAATGAGTGTCTGATGTGGATTAAAAAACACACACACACACAAATGACATCAATAGTGTTGGTGCTCAGTGTAAAGAAACCCCAAACTAATTACTTCCTGTGTTTCATATTTTTCACAAAAGCATCTTTGTTATATGGCTCCATCAAACATATTTTTAAACGTAGTTTCAATGAGCTGTCAATTCAAACATGTGAATTCTTCTTTCTATGAGGATGCAACTTATCTCCCTTAGAAACTGTCTGCTCCTTCACTCATTTGTCTGTTCAGGTAAAAGCTGTGAAACAGGAAATTGAAATTAGCACTGTGGGCTCATTTTTCAATATCCATACTTTAATTAAAGAAGCAAGACTTCTTTGACGCATGCTCTTTATTTGCTTAACTTTTCAATTAATAGCTACAGAAATCAGCTAATTGTATTAAAGTTAGAAATCTGCTGTGATGTTCGTCACATTGTTGAAATCTTTTGAATAAGCAATGCAATGAGTTATAAATAATGCAATTAAAATCCCAATTCTGGTATTGAATAGTTCTATTTCAAAGGCACTGAACACACAGAAAAATATAAGACAATGCATTCAAGCCATTCTTCAAGCCATTAAAATGTATTTGGGCAATCATTAACAATGTCTATCTCTAGAACTTTTAAAATTTTAATTTTTTTTCTCCAGTTCCCAATGAAGATTGAAACCGAATGCTCATGACAGTGTTCCTGGGTTGTAGGTACAAACTCCTTTTGTTAATTCTTTCTGTTGTAGTTGTCTTAACTCTCAAGTTCACCTTGAAATGCCTGTATCTTACTCAGCCTATTAGGTTGAACCATGTGAAACTGCCACTTTCCTAAATGGAAAGCTGCAAGATATTGACAATTTGTTTTGCTTAGACAGAACACAGATGTCTAACTGCCTTTCACAACAGAGTAATATATGTTCATGCATTCCTTCCCGTCCCTCCCTAGTTTAGCTATTTTCTAAAAGAAGTGGACCACTGGAACTCAGAACTAACTCTATCACAGTAGGCAGGAGTGGGTTATCACGGTATTTCCTTCTGTGTGTGTGCCTTTTGATTCTGAGCAACAGCTTCCTGATCTTCTACTGACTTCTGTCTGCCTCTAGGTTAAGAGCTGGTTTCTGTGAACAGCAGTAGAGTTGGGGGTTGGTGTGTGCTGGAGTGTGGGTGGAAGATTTGTAGGTAGTGAAGTTGCATTGTAAAATAGAGCCCTTTAAACATTAAATTTGAAGATGGGGGGACCTCCTCTTTATGGCAAAATGCAAAGGAAATTGCATAGAGAAGAAAACAGGCAGCAGGGGATTCGGTGAAATTGTGTGATAAAATCTGCGATTTCAGGGAAGTGCCTAGGCTTTGAAGTCCGTGCGTGATTCTGTAAAGGACTCATGTTAGCAATTAGAAATCAGTAACTCGGGTCCCTGATTTCATTTACGCCAAGAGAGAGGCGATGTTTAAGGGTGACGATAAATCTCCCTGAGCTTAAAAAGACAGAGAGGGCCAAAGTGTGAACTTTTTACTTCAGCAACGGAAGCGAGAAATCAATGATTCATTAAAACCCGAGACCTCCTTGGAAGCTGGCAGGAGAGGAGGAAACGAAGCAGCTCATTATGTCTCCCTTTTCTACTCTAGCTCCTATCAGTTTATAATCTGCTGTTGGGGGAGAATTTGCCCTGAGCATCCTCTACTGCCCTCTCTCCCCAGCCCTCTTCCCTGCTTCTGGGACCTGGAGGGGGAGAAACGCACACACACACACAAAAGCCAGGCTCCAAACTCCATTTTCACAGCCAAAGAGTGGAAAAAAGAAAGAAAAAGAAAAAGAAAACGACACTGGAAAACAAGTGAGCAAGGGGGCTCCCGGGAGGGGAGTGGTTCCCGCCGGAGGGCAGCAAATTTCGGAAAGCACGCGGACAGCTCGCGCTGGTGGCCAGCACCGCTAGCACAGGACGCTGGAGCAGCAATTAGTTCGAACTGCAGGCTGCGGGGTGGCTGGCCCTCGGAGGCTGCGAGGAAGGGACCCGCAGCCCCCAGCTCAGAGCAAAGGCATCGCGCACTAAACTCTCGCCCAGGCTCTCCCCCCTCTCGGCCCCTTCCCCCCTCCCTTTTCCCTGGCGTTCCCAGCAGCTTAGGGTTTCAGATGTCCCACCGCCGTTTGACCCCCTCCCCCCGCCTTCTCCACCCCTGCAAATGAGGTTTGACCAGCAGACTTAGAGCCCACCTCTGGCTGAAAAGCACTGACATTTAGACTCCAGGCTTCAACCTGTTTACAAGCAGCTTTCCAAGGGACTTGGAGGTGGAGGGTAGAGCCAAACAAAACACCAGCCGCCAGCCGCCAGCCGCCCCCCAAACAAGAAGTGGCTTTCGGGAGACTTCGCATCAACAGGCACCACCAAAAAGAGAAAGGAAGAAGAAAACAACAGCGCCTGGGCAGCTGCCTCCGGTTCTGACAACTCCAAAGAGACACACTTTTTAAGTGGCCAGCAGGCTGGGACTCTGCAGAGAAGGACCAGAAGGTGCCAACCGCAGAGGGGCGCAGATGTCTTCCTGCACCCCCACCCCACCCACTTTGGGTTTTGTTCACCGCGCTGTCATCTGTTTTTCAGACCTCTTTTGCATCTAGCATGGTGAAGAAAGGAGTGAAGAAGAGAACAAAGTAACCCCCGGGGGGGGGGGGAGCGGAGCGCTGGTGACCGACACCACAAGTTCCTGCCACCCACGTCCACTGTTCACCCGCAGACTGGAGAGACACAGGCAGCGGATCTGAGAACGGAGCGAGGACAGGCAGCCGGCCCTTCCGAGGAGTTATGGATGTTGGTGTATTCGCTTCTGGCCAGATCCGTACCCGGAGGGAGCTAACCAGTAGCCACCACCTCCAGCTGTCTCTTTGCCTCGCACCAGGTCTTACCCTTCCAGTATGTTCCTTCTGATGAGACAATTTCCAGCGCCGAGAGTTTCAGTACAATGTGGAAATGGATACTGACACATTGTGCCTCAGCCTTTCCCCACCTGCCGAGCTGCTGTTGCTGCTTCTTGTTGCTCTTCTTGGTGTCTTCCGTCCCTGTCACCTGCCAAGCTCCTGGTCAGGACATGGTGTCACCGGAGGCCACCAACTCCTCTTCCTCCTCCTCCTCTTCCTCCTCCTCGTCCTCCTCCTTGTCCTCTCCTTCCAGTGCAGGGAGGCATGTGCGGAGCTACAATCACCTCCAAGGAGATGTCCGCTGGAGAAAGCTGTTCTCCTTCACCAAGTACTTTCTCAAGATTGAGAAGAACGGAAAGGTCAGCGGTACCAAGAAGGAAAACTGTCCGTACAGTAAGTAACAAATGCGTGCTCCTCTCTTTCCAATTATCCACCCCCACCCCACGCGGGAAGGGGGGGCAGAATCTGTTCCAGATGTGGCCAGCTAAATATTTATGTCCCCAACCCCTGTAAAATGATGAAGTGGAATACTTTCACACTAAATCAGCCCCCTCCCGAGTATACATTGTGCTGCAGGATTCCCTCCACCATACAACTCTCCTCCACATCCCTTGCACCCTATTCTCCATCTCGTTTTTCACTCGCAGGACCACTCCCGGTGCCCTAGGGTTGTTGCTGCTAGGAGATGCCGCATTCTGTGTCCAGTACCTTCCCCCATCTCATGCAAAGGTCTCCTTTCCCTCCCTTTTGGAAATGGCTCAAGTAAACACATTTTGTTTCCTCTTGCTGGCAACCTTAAGAGTTTTGGGACAAACTCCTAAAGCTGAAAATAATTATCCACTGTCAATTACAGGGGCTTTATGGGACATTTAAGGAAGAAGACTCACTTCCACTGTCCCCTGGCCCCCATCTTTTGTCCCACTACTTCTAGATAGAAGCCAAAAGAGTTTTTTTTTCCTAGTTTTTCCTCGTTTTGGTTTGAGTGACTGCAGTCCGTGCAGTTAGCTTTTCGGGCAACACCACTGCTGTTTGTGCCTTGCCTGCCTTCTCTCTCGGTAACATGATGCTCATGCCTGCATTGTCAATAGCATATGGGCTGCTGCTTTGTGGTGTCTTGTTGTACTGTTTCTTCTGAAACCTCTCATATTGCAGAGGCATAGTACTACAGCATTGTAAACATCTGGGACTGGATTCGCACAGACCTCACACAAATTTCATTGTCATTCTTTTATTTTCAAAGTAAAAGACTAAGTCTGTTTCCAAGCCTGTATCCCATAGGGCGAGGTTAGTCTCCACATTCTGCAGGGGAACCTTGGAGCTCTTTCTTTCCCCTTTCTCACTGGTCTTTCTTTCAATCCTTCTGTCTTGTGCGTGCAGAGTGGTGGTGGGGGAGTGCTGAATAAGGGGAGGAAAAAGGAGGAGGGAAGGGGTGGATACCACCTCTCATCTTGAACCAACCCAGGCAAGCCAGATTATTCTATTGGCTTCCCTTCCTGATTACTTTCAAGTGCTGAGACTTATTCATCCTCCATTGATTGTTATTAGAAGGGATTCCCAAGGCTACGTAATGGTACACTGAAGGCAGTAGACAATGACATTTAAACATCTTTAATGACCAAATGGCTCTATCTCTTTGGTAAATTCCAAGTCACCTTTGAAGGGGAACGTTTTGAGTTAGTTCTTTGGGATTCCCAGCATACACTGGCCAGCATGCTGAAATATGAGTCCCTCAATTTAGATTTGTTTTTTGGTGGTTTTGTTGTTTTTGGTTTTTGACTCAGAGTATATCAGGGACTAATGAAAATGACAAACTGACCAGAATTTAGCATTTCTTTCTTCAATAAATATTACATGAATTAAGACTTAGTTTTCTTCTTGGGGGACTCACAAACATCCAGCATTAACTTTATTCATCTTCAGTTGCTTTCAACCTAGTTGCTCATTAAAATTAGCAATATGTTTATAAACAATAGCTCTGCAGAAGTGTTTGAAGTATGCTAGGTTAAGCATTGGAACTATTAAATACCTTATTACATATGCAAATATATTCAGTCTGATGCTTAAAAAAGAGCTGAAATAGTATCTTTAATGGTAGTATCTTAAGTCTCTTGCCACTTGAGTACTTTACATACTGTACTATAGATAGTCTTTATGGTTTGCAGATTCTAATTTAGTATTCTTGACTACTTGTAAAACAAAATCCAGCAGTGGTGCCCAGTTAAATGAAGAATCTGCCTCCATACTGTGCTCTAGTGTTTTCTCTTTTTAAATTCTCATAGGCTGATTTCCTTTAGTTCATATGGAAAACATGAAGAAAATGTCTGAGTTTTAACCTTGAGCTTACTTTCTTCTTTTTAACGTTTTGATAATAACTCAATCTTGCTATTATGTTGTGTTTTTTTAATGTAGTGTAATGATCAACCTGTAGATATTTTAGTTTATGATACTCAGATGGCTGTTTTGTAAAATAATGATCCCTGTGCCATGAACTACTTAGTAAAATGACTCCCAGGGAACACACTGAGTTTTATTTTTACAATATGAACTATCCCAAATGAGAAAATTATGCAACTTTTATTGCATAAACAAGTACAACAAATTTCCATTCTAACAAAAAAGGTCATTATATCTTTTGTGGGATTAAATATGGCATTTACTAATAGTCTCTTGAAATTAAAAGCTAAATATATAACATAAGAAGACTGTCTCAATTAATGGTTTAAAAGTGAAGGAGGATAATCATATTGCTAAATATTGTCAAACCATAACTAATTTAAGCTTTCCAAGAACATGAGTATCAAAACATAGCAAGTGAAAAGAACAGTTTGAAAGGGCCTTAATTTTTCCTGGAGCCCAGTAATTAGAATGCAGCTAACATTCCCAGCTGGACTTATTCACCTGAAATACACAGTATCATTTAGATATTCTTTAAATGTTGCATAATTGCACATAAAAAACTTTTGCCACACCCACAGGGTAGCCAGCCATCCAGCAACCAAGTAGTAGCCTGTTAAATATTAGGATATCTAACCTCTGAAGAGTGTCAGTTCCTTGTCCAAAAGCTACATTTTGGGACCATTTTCCTAAACAACATATTAATTAGTCCCAATACACAAAGATGTTATGTTGAGACTTGCTTATTTGAAGATTCATTTTCTTTGCTACCTTTGACCCTGGTATTATTTGCTGCTAGAATACCATCACAGCTTACCTAAGGGGTTGTATGTTTGTGATGCTTTGGGTAATTAAACAGCTGTTTCACTGGCTCATTGCCAGCAAAATGTTAACAATAAGGAAGAAAGGAACTCACTCATAAGTATTGCAAAATGATTCTTTTTTAACTTCATCCTCCAAAGCTAACACCTTGTTTTGAATAGATCTGAATGTTCGGCATGTGTTAAAGAAACTCTTCTCAACTTGAGTGAATACTAAAGACTTTTTCTTTAGAAGGGGGTGGGGCGGGGTGGAGTGGGGCAGGGGTGTGTGTTTTCTTTGCTCTTTGCTATTATATGGGAGTAGAATAAAGAGAGTAGGAGTGAATTATGTTTCTCCTGCTAGAAGACTAAGGAAGCTTGAATAATTGAGACTAGCTATGGTATATCTGTCACTAGATATGTGCAGGCTCATTTAGGTTTTGTTTTATCATGCCTTACATCTAGAGCTTTGCCCTTGAAACATTACCACTCAGCTTTGGTTCTGACCTCCTAGAAAGGCTGGATACAGCTGTTAGGTCCCCTTGCAAATGGGACTGCTTGACTTATTCCTGGACACGAGTAAAACAGCTGTGAGCTTCTCCCATGGTTGTCATTTGAAGAAAAGAAGAATCTAGCGAAAGGAAAATGTATCCCCAAACTACAGACAACTAAATAGATGATCCCAATACAGGCTCCCGGAGCTTATGGGCCTTTCTGCGAAAAGCATATGAGAGACAAGGAATATGTAGCACGCAATCCCTCTCTTTAAATATTTATCTCACTTAGTACTCATAATAGTCACATGGCTTTGATAAAACTATATACATTTTAAAGTATGAAAATTAAGGTTAGAGGAGGTAAAGTTTCCAATCACTCAAGTGGAAAGCGACAAAAGTATATTACAAATCTAACCCTATCTGGCTATCTCTCCTTGTAGGTTATAGCTCTTGGCTAATCTGAACATGGATACCAGTTTATTAGATCAAGCCACTCCCAACCTCCTAAAAATTAGTCACTTAAAACTTGTGTTGCCTTTTGCTGTGAACATTAATAGGCTTCAGTCTTAATTGGAAGAGAAGTAAAATGACCGTGGGAAGAAAATAAAATGCCAGCGATAATAAGTGCAGGTGGCCATATGGTACCAGACAATGTCTGTCCGTGTATCATCCAGGTCAGGCCTCTCTCTTGATATTCAGTTTGGGAATATAATTGCTCGTGGACACACACAAAGTACACATGCATCAATCTCACTTACGTGAACAGGGGTCATTAGGAATACATGACTATTTAAGAAAATCCATGAATGTCATTGTATATAGTAATTGTTTACAGCTGAGGGCCAAATGCTTAATTGTTCCCACGTGCAATAAAATAATTTGATTGTAAATACCTGTGGGAGCTTAGGCTGTTGTAGGAACTTCTAACACATGACTACAAAAAGTGACATTATAGAGACCTACAGCTAGAGACAGAAATGATGCAAAATGAATGGGTAAATCAAAGAGATATTTTGCTACATAAAAATAATGGATTGTAATGCTAGACTTAGCACTAAGTGTTTGCATTATTATTTTCTAATCAGGAATTCAGTTTAGTATTGAAGGGAATTTTAAAAAGTTGTTGAGGAAAGAACTACAGTATTGTCTCATGCCAAATACTCAAGAGTCTTCTGGAGCATGGTGGGACTCCTATGGGCAATTTATGGCTTCCGCTGGTGTCTTATTTACAATTGTGGTTCTCTCTAGAATTTGCTTGCAAAATTTATAACCAGAAGCATTTAATCATCAGCCTTGAGGATTTATGAAGGTGGAAGGCACTGTATTTAATGTTTACATGACACTGTCCTATTGCATCTGTACCATGTGGACCCTCCACTTTGATGGCTTCATCATAAATCCATTAAAATGCACAATTTGAGAGTTTCCTCTTCATAAACGTGATTTATAACCACGTATTAGAAGAACCCAACAAACCAGTTGGCTGGAATAGCATGCTGATATTGGAGGGGGAGAATTCAGGCACCAAACTCTAGATCTCGGCAATGTCAGTAACCTGGTACCTGAAGGTACAGTCCATTCTTTGAAAGCATGTGTTTCCAAAATGATGTTTAAACATATAATTTTTGAAAAAGAAGGGTCCTGTTAAACCAAAGTCCATTGCACATTTTCTTGTACATTGTCACTAACAGCTTATAACATA